CAATTTCTGTCCATTACAACCAAATAAAAATGTATTAAACGTACTATGTTTGGCTTGGGAAATCAGTTTTTGTCTGCTGTAACTGACTTCCTGTTATAACTATGTCTGTTATAAGCGGAGTCCAGTGCAGCACATTTCTATTATGAACTACTCAATACATCTGTTTGCCATCGTCTAGTAAAAGTGAAACAGCTGAAAATGGCTTAAGAGAATTAATCTCAAAAGCGTAGTTTAAGTCATATTTTGTTTTTGCAAGTGTAGCATCTCTGTTTGCAGTAAGGTCAGAGGTCACCCAAACTTTAATTTCACTGTTTGCAATCAAGCCTGTACTCAGCTAACTTGTACTTGATTTCACACAGGATGCATCAACACTGGCAAAAATGGGCCCTTGTAATTAACCAGTATGTAATTTTCTGGTATGTTTCAACAAGAGAGTGACAGATATTGCAACTGCATTTAATATCTTTGGGGACCATATTGTATTAAGTTTATGAATGATTTATGTATCACTTTAGGCCAGATATTGCATGCAACCGTGGGGGTGGGGAAAGGTTACCACAGCTCCTCCAGGAACCAAAAAAAAGTGGAAAGTGATTAAGGTGAATCAGATTGTCAGCATCTCGAGAGAGGTACCACACCTGAGGAGACTTGCATCTACTGGTTCAAACTGGGTTTTCTGAGACCAACAGAGAAAGGCTTTTGATATAAAGAGGCTGAGTTTAAAAGGAGATGGGGCCTTCTTTTGATTCAGGGAACAGATAGGACCTTCTGTCCCATGGGGGACCCTGACACTTACGGAAGGGTTGGACTTACCAGGATCTCCTAAGACTGATGGGTGACCACTGGTAAGCTTTTGGCATCCATATAGGAAACGGTGATTGGTTTTGGTATGTTTTTTCTGTAATGTTCTTAACCTAAGAATAAATGTATTTTGCTATGTGAAGGCTTATTGGTAACTGGTGTATACTGTCGTAGCCACTGGAGAGAGGATAACACATGTGCTGGACCACAGTCAGACCTTCTGGGGAAATCACAGTGGAGTGCAGAGTCTGGAGGGAGAGAGAGATGCGGTTCTCCATCCAAGAGAAGTGATTGCAGGGAGTCTGAAACCTTAAGTGGATACCCTTAATGAGGACCAGGAGGAGTCAAAAATGCAGTTAATCCTGAAACTGGGACAAGATGGTAAATCACTAGTCCCATTTTTGACTATGAAGAAAAGGCCTTGGTAATATCACTTTCAGTTTGTCATACTGATAGTAACCAACCAGGAACCATTTTAGCACAACTGTTTTCAGGCAGCTCGTGTACCATGACAGTCACAACTATGTTTTATATTACTTATGAGCATGTAAAGTGGCATGGTTTAAAAACTGAATAATGGGGACACCCTCAATACTATCAGCTTTTAAACCATATTCATTTCCTTAACAAAGTGTAAAAGCGCTAAGGTCCACAGGGTGTTTGGTGTAGCCACAAGCTTTCTATAGCATTAACGTGAACATTAATAATTCACCTTTCCTCCTTCATGCAAAGATTAATACACACACATGGAATGAAATGTGACCCTTCCCTGTGCTGAAAGAGCAATATTGATGTTTTTCCTGTTTAGCTTATTCATTCAAAGGCTGTATGTTGGGGGTGGGGTGGGGGACCCCTACCCTTTACTTAGTAGAAGCTGAAACAGAAGGGACAAGGAATAGGACTTTAATCTAGGTTTCTAGGACTACTGAATTAGACTAATGGTTCCTTCATTCCCAGGAGTAACATGATTTTGTTGGAGACAAACTATAATTTTAGGCATTTGGATACTATGGTGACAAGTGCCATTAGAAATTGCCCATACATAAAGAAGCATAAAAAGCTAAAGTTTGCTTTAGTTACACTAGGTAAGTGCAGAGTAACTCCAAAGTCTGAAATGGAGTTACTTTGGGTTGACACAGTGCAGCTGGAAGCAAAATATAGCCTTATATGAATTTCTGTAATATCCACAACCAGGCTCATCAACCATATCATACCTAAATGGAATGAAATTGAAGTCTGAGTAGTGTTCTATTATCACACACGCTGTGTGTGGCGAAGTCTACTAACCAAGAGTGAACACAGCTGGCAACTTGCAAGGTTTCATATTTCTTGTCTTTTTTGTAGCTTGTTTATATTTTATTGTTTATATCCCTAAGATATTTCTGAAAATGAGATGATGCCTCTCAGTGGGTCTTTACACCCAACCGATAAAGGAAATTCAACCACCCCTAGCAAGCTCATATTTAGAAGAGGTTCCAACAAGAGCTGCTTTCACTGAGGGAGTTTGTCAGCACATAATTGTTCAGCCACAGTACACTCTGCAAGCAAACCCAGCCTTACTCATTTCTCTTAGAGAACTAATTAAAGTGGAGAACTTGTTTTGTTATTATGGTTGAAGGACAGTTTTGTATTGTTCATGCTAAACAGGATCTGAGCAGTAGACAGACCTGTTTCACCTACAGACAGGGGCATAGGCTGTAATAAAGCAGTTTCTTAGTAACTGTCTCTCATGCTTTAGAAATGCAATGCATCAAATTTAGCATCATGCAGAATCCTTCAGTGGGGCTATGGAATATTATTACCATTTTTTTTCTTAAAAAGGAATGCTGCCAGGTCTCCTGGGAGGATTTTGTCAGCTGCTACCATTCACCTGCCTTTGCCACCTGAAATTGGTATTAAATATGAGGGGAAAATGATAGTAGACTTAAGCCTATTATGATACTGCTGTGACAGGGAAACTTAAAAAAAAAACACTGAAGAAGCATCTATTTTAGGAGAAACAAACAAATCTTAGCTTTAACACCAAATGACCCCATCACATATTTCCAAATATTTGTTTTCATGATATACACCTTACACAGCCAGCTAATAACAAAACAGACTCCAGGGTGGTAAATGGAATCTGGTTATGGAGGAGAAATAAATCTTAGCTTTGATTATATCCACAAAGTGCACATCTGCTGCTTAACATCATGCACACAGAAACAGCACCTCCAACAGCATAGCACTTTAGTGGTGAGAGGATATTGCATGTGGAGGTCATCTGGCTACTATTACAAGTATTGAAGCCCAGAACCTTCTGGCTTAGAATTGTGATTAGTACCTCCTGAGTTACCAAGTCTTTTATGTGCTTGGTGCTCTTATCCATTCCCGCGAGCTACATATGCAAAAGGTTCTGGAAAAATTATATCTGTCCTGCACTGTTTGAGATACTAGATTTTATTTTTAAACCCTTTAAGATTTATTTCTGCTGGATTATCTTCTAGGGTCTCTTAGGAAATAAAATGTTCAGAGTACACATCCTATCTCACGCGTACTGTGCTGTAACTCTGCATATATTTAAGATTCCCAGATTTTGGACTAAGTGGAGTCAAACAAAACTGAAACTGTGGTCTATGTGTTTCACAAGTGTACCAGAGGATTCGCTAAGAGGCTCAAATCAACATGTTCAAAGTAAATGGTCCTTTTAATTTTCGCTCTTTTTGGCTAAAAAGCAACACAGATTAGTTACTTGCATTATATTTTCTGTTTCATGTAATTCTGGAAATGTTGGGAAGGAAGTAGTTGAAAACAGATTTCTCTTTTTTTTTATGGTGTTTAGGCTGCTCTTGGTTCTTTAGTATTATAAGAATAAATTAATTTAAGTAGCAGAAACTGATAATAATAAGCCTGAATGTAGCACTGTACAGAAAGATTTTTGCTCACTGAAATAGTTTTTGTTTGCTATGTGAATGAAAGCAGGCAGCAGACTAAAGGAAGGTTCTCCTACAAGCAAGAGACAATGCACTCCTATTCTAATGGCAAATAGCATGAAAGACCCTCTCTTTTTTAGTCTGGGCGCATGGTCATGCACTTGTCTATGCAGCTACAATACTGTATCTGAATGTAAATCACACCCATAACTTTGTGGTCAATTTCTCAGATGCCCATCCCCATAGAATGGGTATGTCATTATGTACAGTATATGAGGGAGGGATAGCTCAGTTGTTTGAGCATTGGCCTGCTAAACCCAGGGTTGTGAGTTCAATCCTCGAGGGGGCCATTTGGGGATTTAGTTGGGGATTGGTCCTGCTTTGAAGAGGGGGTTGGACTAGATGATCTCCTAAGGTCCCTTCCAACCCTGATATTCTATGATTCTAAGGAAGTTTGACTTTAATAAAGCAGCATATACAGCAGAATCTTGCTAGTCTAATCACCCTCCAGCTCAAACTGTCATCTGAAGCTGCAGATGTCTTCTTAGATGCATAGATTTACGTACATAATAATACACCCACTCTCTCTTGTGGAAGAGGTGTAAGCCCCCATCGCTTCCCTGCATGTAAAGCAGTTTACTCAAGAAGAATCAAATATGTGGAGTGTATTTCTTACATCCTACAGCCAGGGCCTCATTGCAATGTGGAGGTTCTTAAGAGAAGTCTTTCTGAAAGAAAGAAATCTGTCATTTCTCCCTTTAGGTAGTAAGACTCAGTCTCAGCTGGAGTTCCAGCTTGAATTTGATGACTTAAGGCCCTCTGCTGAGAACAGCCTTTGCTTTTTATCCAAGGGTCTCAAAGCACTTCACAAACATTGATCACCTCTGTGAAATAGTAAAAATTATTAAACCCATTGTACAGATGGGCAAATCAAATAGAGAGGCTAAGTGGCTTGTTTAAGGGCACATAGGAAGACTATGGTCTATCCAGGACTAGAACGCCAGGAGTCCTGACATCTTGTCCTGTTTGCTGTCATTGATAGATAACACTCCTTCACTGAGATCAGAAACCACCTTCAGAACAGATGAATGGTGTGGAAAAGAACTATAAACTCTAAGCACGACTCAGAATTTAATTAGCCTATTTAAAATTATGAAAGACACGGCTTGGTTTTAGTCTACAGATAAAAAAAGAAAAATGGTAGAGATGAAACTAGAAGTAGTAGTTTGGCAATATTTTACAAGACAAATGGGTATGAAAGTGAAGAATAAGAATACCAAAGCTTACACCATGTTGCATTGTCCTCCAGATAGTCCTCTGGGAAGCAAGAGGAAAACAGATTCAGGGAACAGAAAAAAAATAACATAGCAGGTTATACCAAGCAGCTAACCACAGAGAAGATAAAGTGTCATTATAAGCAGTCTCTTGTAAATGAGAATTCTTAGATAATACATTTCAGAAGAAACCAAGAAGACCCAGCAGTGAAAGCTGAGTACACATGTTAAGTCTGACATCATAAGTGTATTTTGATCAGTTTTAAGCTAAATACATGCCAACTTTACTTTTTGATATTTCATTTTCACATTTGCAGGTCTTACTTTGATTTATTATTTATCAAATGCCATTAGGATGCAGCTATTATGAATTTGATAACATATAACGCTCTTCCCCAAATGTCTATGTTCTGCCATTAAGTAATAACTGCCTCTGCTTTAATGAAATGATTGGATGTATCAAAACAGGTTAAGTTAATGATAACGGGCCAGATTTGTAGAACTGCATTTTTAGGCCACATAATGGGAGCTGCTGGGTGCTAAGTACTCTGGAAAATCTGGTCACTTCATTTAGGTTTCTGAAGGGGAGCTGAGATGTCTTAAAAATCTGTCCCCAAATGGTAGGTGCTCAAGTCTGACTTAAACTATATTACATTGTAGTATATGACTGAAATAATTTGAATAATTTGTTTTCTTCTGAGAATATGCTGTCAAAGACTGATTCTTCTGATGATACCAGTTTTGTTTGTCACTTCACTTTTTAGAGTCTAGGAAGCTCCATCTTTGGTCTTTGCTATGATGGTTTAATGGTCAATGATTTGACAGTACAGTATTTTAAGAATGAAATCTCAAAGACAGAGTTCTTTCAAAAGCATTAATCTAGTATTGAATAGTCACATGAAACACAAGAAAACGCTACCATGAAAGACAGGGAGGTATTATTAATTGTTTGTAACTTTTTTGGCATTGCTTGCAAAAAAAAATTCAAAGGAGGCTAGATTTATGGTATACTGCCTATGAAAATAGTGAGTTACTTTGTTGTATATTTACATTAATTGAGTAATCAAAAGTGAGTGACACACAGACTGGAAAACATCAAATCATACACATTATGAGAATTTTGTTCAGAACATCAGCCTTTTTGTAATACTATTTTCAAAAAATTATAGCATTTAAATCTTTCTGGGAAACTTTCACTACTTGGTTTGAGACTTTTCAAAGCATGGATAAAGGATCATAGTTCTGAAACAAAACCTTATGCCCCAATCCATTGAGAATCCTGTTCCAACTCCAGCTGAAGTCAGTGGCCATCTCTCACTTCAGTGGATGCTGGACTGGGCACAAAAGGAGATAACACTAAGGGTACTGTTTAGATCTGTATTTGATACAGATATTAATAGCTACAAGGACAATAACACTTTTCAATTTAAATGTCACCAGACTAGGTAGATATTTAGCTGTAACACTTTGTTAAGTGAGAATATCAATGATAAACTTGCTCTCCTTTCAAAAACTTGGGGAAATCTAATCTGGTCAAGTCAAATGGGACCAAATTCCCCATTGAAAGTCAATGAGGTTACACAGGGTATAAAGCATTGTCTACATTGAAAGTTTGCCTTAGTTACAGCCATCGATGGCCAACTACAGATGAATCTGCTCCATTGCTATTTTATTTATTGTGTATCATAGTTTAAATGGTTTTGCCCTGTAAAAGATATTAGTGGTTCCAGCAGTATTCTCACTATATGTATGAGGAATGCCTGATCTCTTTTTAAGTGGTAACAATGCTTTAGCTCAGGGGTGGGCAAACTACAGCCCGTGGGATGGATCCGGCCTGTCAGGACTTTGGATCCGGCCCGCAGGATTGCTAGCCCTGTGCCGTTCCCGGAAGCGGCTGGCCCCCTGACCCCAGGGAGGCAGAGTGCTCCGCGTGCTGCCCTCACCTGAAGGCACCGCCCCCTGCAGCTCCCATTGGCCAGGAGCCTGCCTTAGCCCCGCTGCGCACCGCTGCCACCCTGGAGCCACTCCAGGTAAGCGGCGCTGGGCTGGAGCCCACATGCTGAACCCTTCCTGCACCCCAACACCCTGCCCTGAGCCCCCTGCTGCACCCCGCACCCTTCCTGCACCACAACCCCCTGCCCTGAGCCCCCTGCCACACCCTGCACTCCTCCTGCACCCCAACCTCCTGCCCTGAGCCCCCTGCCACACCCCACACCGCTCCTGCACCCCAGTCTCCTGCCCTGAGCCCGCTGCCGCACAACAACCACCTGCCCCAGCTCCTGCATGGCCCTGCATGCAATCTCCGCACCCAGATGTGGCCCTCGGGACAAAAAGTTTGCCCACCCCTGCTTTAGCTGCTCCTGGTATATAGAAGTAGTTCAAGATGAACTATTACTACCAACTTTCCTTTTTAT